ATGTCATTTCGTTCAGCATGGACCCAGCGACTTAAGTATTATGTCCATTTTATAGCTGAGGAAACAGAGTCTCCAACAGTCTTAAGTGACATAGCCAAACCAACCAGTAGCCATCAAGTCAAATGCAACTCACAGCGATCCCCCATAGGGGCACAGGACAGAGCTGCTCCCCCCACTCCACTGGTTTTCAACGGCTGCTTCTTGGGAAGTAGATCACCAGGCCTTTCTGCTGCGGCACCTCCAGAGGGGACTCGAACCTACAGCCTTTGGTTAGCAGCCAGGCTTGCTCATGGTCCTTACCACCCAAGGACCCCACGTGGCTTTTCACAGATGTACTGTTAGGAAGGAGGAGCCTTGGTGGCATAGTGGTTATATTGGGCTGCTCACCTCAAAGTCAGCAGTTCAGAACCAGCAGCCTCTCCTCGGGAGAAAGACAAGACTTTCTACTCCTGTCAAGAGTTAGGGGCAATTCTGCCATGCCCTATAGGGCCGCTGTCTGGGCATCGGCTTGATGGCAGTGAGTTTTTGAGTATCATTTGGAGCCCGTCCCCCCCCATGGATGTGCAGGTGGTTTCCAACTTTTCACTCGTGCAAGCCGCCTCTCCCTTGCTGGCAGCAGTGTGATGTCACTGTGCCCAGCGGCCAGACCCCAGCTTCATTTTGTCTGTTAGGGCCGGCCTTGCTGGGAACCTGCTCGTGCTGACTTCCTTCCCTGGCTCTTGGCGCTCCCGGGGCCTTGATGAAGAGCCTGAGCTCCCTTAGCTCCAAGCAGCGATAAACCCACTTAGAGCCCTTGCTGAAGTTTATTTACAAGGAGAAACGACTCCCAGCAGCCATGCGCAGCCCCTCCTTAAAGCCACGTTCATTATTAACAGATCCCAGCGCTCACTGCGTGATTCCGAATGGATGCAGGAGCTGGGAAAGAGAAAGTCTGCTTTGGGAAGGGACCCCACCCCTCTCCCAGGGTCACAGTAGGCTTGTCTATGGGGCTGGGGCAGTCGGGCTCAGGCTGCCCTAGGGCATGTCTTCAATTTCCGAGTGCGCTCCCAGAGCAGCAACTCAGTGAGGCACAGACCTCTGTCCCTGCCTTCAGGCGCTGACTGGCAATTATCACGAGAAAGCTTCCACCGTGGGAGGGGCGGCACAGAGAACCAGGGAGCTTGCACAACTGTGTGTTGGGGCTAGCCGGGAGGAGGGTCCCTCAGAGAAAGCTGAGCCAGAAGGGTCACCCCATGGAAGGTGCAGAGACCCTGGAAGGGGGGCAGTAAGAGAGGGGCCACCTTGGCTGGGTGCATTCAGAGAGGGCTTCCCAGAGGCGGCAGCATTTTAGGCTGAGCCCTGTAGGGTGAGTAGGAGCTGGCCAGGGTGGGACACAGAAGAGCAGCAGGCCGAAGGGAAGGGGAGAGGACAGACATCCCAGGGTGTCCCCTGGAGTCCCGGGCAGGACAGGTAGGCTAGGCAGTGCGTGCAGCCTGACAGGCAGGTGAGCATGTACTGTTTCCAGCGCCTTTGGGGTTTTCGGTTTCCTCTCTCACTTCTTCTTTGGGGGCAGTTTTAGAAGAGGCCTCCGGAAGCTGCTTCAAGATGGCAGGGCTGGGAGAGGTGTGGGTGCCTGGGGACTCATTCACCGGGGTGGGAGCTCCGGGGCCTCCCGCTGGCAGGGTCTGGTGCCCTGGTGTTTTTGTGGGATGTGGGGCAGGTGTGAAGGGGTGGGAAGGAAGGAAGCCGGCGCTTTCA